CAATGTTGAACATTGGAAATATTTCTACGACTATTATCTAAATTAAACTTCTTTATTGGTGCAAAATCTACTTACAATTAGACATATTAATAACTAAAAAAACTTCGTAATTTATTTATAATTTAATATAACGACTCGAACAAAAAATGGACGTGAGATAGTGGTCTTTTTCAATTAAATTCTATATGTAAGTTTTAGTAATAACAAGTTCTGAGATACCCGTATACGTGTTCGGAAGTACGATATATATTATTTCAACATTATAGACGTTGAATTTCATGAATACAGACATTTGCTACTTTAATTTTATTTCGTTTCCAATTAATTAAATGTTACCATTGGTAGCTTTTAAACAAATTGGCGGAATATACGATATAATTATAACAAGACTGTTTCCAATCGTTTCACTTTCTGTCAATAAAGAGAATGAGATTATCACGTTAAACTTCGTAGTATTAAATCATGAAATTTATATTCTTCGCGTATACAAATATAAAATTATTGTGTGTGATAATCGAGTTAAAGAGTTACGTCAGCTCAAGATTATCAACCGGATTATCATTTACCCCGGTTTTCACCAACGTCATTTAACTTTGATCTAGCAAGTTTAATTCATCCTTTGTCTTTCTCCAAGTGTCCCCCTTGGAGAGAGATAAAGGATGAATTAAACTAAGATCAAAGTTAAGTGACGTTGGCGAAAACCGGAGGAGGGGGTTAATCTTATTTCTAAATTAAAATGCTTGTTACGTTGTCAAGTTACGTTGTCAGTTGATAGTCGTGCATTATTGCAATGAAAGTACACAGATCTCTGCATTCCTTGAAAATCGGTCTTTGCGGGAGAGATATGTGCAAAAGCGATACGTTAAAGCATATATCACAAAAGCGAAAGCCTTTCAATAGAAAACTCTTGCAATAACTTATTCGATTTTTTTTTTACAAAGCTGTTATGACCCAGCAAACACCAAATCGTTACGTAACATCGACGTTATGTAACTATTACTTTGGTGGTTGATGGAAAGGGAAATCCGACTTGGATGTACTTACTTTTGAAATAGAGCTCTCCGGCGAACAAGTTATTGGTCTTTCTGAGTTATTCGCAAGGAAGTTGAATTTGAGTTGACATTTTCTCTGTAATAATTGATTTAGTCGCCCGTAGAAGCGAAATATCTGCCAAGTCCGCTGCGAATAACGATCTAGAATGTCAACTTGCGAAGAAATCAATGCGATCGCCTTTTCGAAAATGACGATCTTTAAACCAAGGAAACCATGACGCGCTTTCGCGACGTAGAGTGCAACATAGTGAAATGTCCGCTTCTGCGGGAGGACTGGGCCGTCAAAGACGTTGTCACGGTCGTTCTCGTGCTGTTATTCGTCGCCCCGGTGCCGAAGCAAGGATGCGAATTCGTCGGGCACCATCCCGAAATCCAGGAGATTGCCTGCATGTTCCTACCGGGCAACAATTGCTGTTTAACGGAGAAATTCCGCGGCGAAAAGTTGCCGGGGAAATGTTGCCGTCTCCACGGACGTTTTGAATGCGCGAAACTTGAGGCGTTGCATGAGAAAAAGTCAATTCCACGACTATTCCGATCGTTTTTATAAAACCAAATTATATCGTTAAGATATCGATATACTTAATAATATTAATACACGTCCTAAGAATTTACGTTTTACAGCTAAACGAGAAAAGTGCTGTTAAAGTTTTAAATAAATCCGCAGCGTGGCTTAATATGTTACGTTATATAAAATAATTGTAATTTTTATGATTTCAATTTCAACTAACATACCGTACGGTTTTGCAGAAAGGGGTGCTGAAGAGGCAATAGATGATTGGATTAGCGGCCGAATTGAGCGGTGTCAAACTTTGTATGAAGGTAGCGACTGCGATATTCGTCTGAGTCTTTGGCACATGTCCGTAAACTTGAAGGAGGTCGAAGACTATGTACGGACTCCAGCAAAGGATAAATACTGAAACACACAGAATCATATTCGCCTACATAGCGTGAGTAACTTATATCTCGTTCGCGCAACGCTAATTAATCGAACTTTGCCCATTTACATTTAATTTTAGGATAAGTCCAAAAAAAGTTACAGAGATAAATTGCGAGAGATCTCCAAACCAATAATTAAGATAATAATTTGACGATAATATTATAAGATATGTCGTCGAATCATATGTCGACGATAATACGAATAAATCGTTCATGCTATAAATTAATCTCGTAATATACAATAATAAATGCAAAGTCACTCTTAATTAACGCGCTGCAAGTAAAACGTGATTATTCGCGCTTTCAATTGAAAGTTACCATTTCTATCTTAAATTACGGGAGTAATATGAAAATCCTGACAAAACGATAGCTCCAAGTTTGCGCCAATTCCATTTTAGATAACGAACCTAACGAACTTAAAATAACGAAACGCTCCATTTGTCTCGTTGGAGACACGTTCTGATTTATGTGACGGCTTCCGTTTTAGAGATAACACGTACTCGCGACTCTTCCTTTTTTTTGTGCAAGAGGAAAAAGCTTACAGAATGAAATTATGAAATCTCGGAAAGATCGAAAGGAGAGACAAAAAGAACAACGCAAAGAAGTGTATTTACCGAATAGATTTTGGTAACAAATTATAAAAATACGTAATGGATTTTTTATGACACGTATCTGTCAATATATTCAAAAAAGTAGAATACATATTGCTTATGTAAAGAGAATCAATTATAGACAGAATTGGTTAATTTTACTTTAATTCTTGTGCATTAAAATAAAAAAAAAAGATTATTAAGAATTTTACAAAGTGGAAAAAGTTTGCACTGTTATATACTTTCAAAAATAAATAATTTATATTTTAATGTAAAATATTAATTTCAGAATGCATTAATAAATTATTACAAAAGGTCACTGTAGTATATACGTACTGCATTATCAGTTATTAACGACTATATTTTGTAATAATTTTATCGCAAAGTAAAATTAAATTTTTACGTTCACGTTACGAATATGTAAAAGGGCAAAAATTAGATTTTTCACTTTAATTAATCTCCAAAATATGCTATTAAAATTGGATATGCTGTATCCATGTATACATTAATATCTCTAATAGAGAATATCTTGGAGATTAATTAAGATCGATAATTTTAATATGAAAATGTCGATCGCGTCAATCACGGACGATAGTTTTCAAGTTGTGAGCGATCAAAGTTGATATAATATTACACAGAGTTGAGTTGACGCTCTTACATAGATTATCCAACATCTATTGATGTTCAATTCAGCTAATTTCGCGTAGATGGTTTTTACATCTCGATATTATACTATTATACTATAATCAATTAATGTTATTTATTCCAGGCAAATTTTAACCGCTCGACTCGCTTAATTATTATTAGATGGTCCCGTTTTCTGATCGAGATTTTTAGTCAAACGGAATTAAAGAACGTATGAAGCAAAGAGCGCGATGCGCGACGATAATTCGTTCGTCAAACTAGCTTAGAACGGAATTTGTATTAAAAGAACACGAGGAACGAAAAAGGAGAAACTATTCGGCATAATTGTATTTTAAAAATACCTGCTCGACGTTGAAAATATTAGATGATCCCTTCTTTTGATTAAGATTTTTAGTCAAATTTAATTAAATATCGTATGAAACAAAACGCACGATGCGCGACAGCGATCCGTTCGTCGAAACTGGCTTACAATTAGAACAGAATGAAAATTAAGAGAACACGATTAACGAAAGTAGAGAGAATATTCAGCGTAATTATATTTCAAAAATACGTAAACTGCTCGACGTTGATAATTATTAGATGGTCCCTTCTTCCGATTGAGATTTTTAGTCAAACGGAATTAAAGAACGTATGAAGCAAAACGCGCGACGCGCGACGATAATCCGTTCGTCAAAACTAGCTTAGAACTGAATTTGTATTAAAAGAACACGAGGAACGAAAAAGGATAGAATATTCGGCATGATTGTTTAGTCAAACACTGTTAAAGAACGTATGAAACAAAGCGCGCGATGCGCGACGATCCGTTCATCGATACAGCTTAGAACAGAATGAAAAGGAAAATACGAGTAACGAAGGTAGAGAGAATATTCGGTGTCGTTGTATTATTTCGGAAATACGTAAACACGTTCGGCAAAAACATCGCCGTTGGCGTTGGAATGTTCTTTTTGCCATCATAGCGCGTCGTGCGTACACAAGGTCGCCGACCGTTAGGCTGAGCGGCTCCGTGAGTCATTGTCGCGCGAGACGCGAACGAGACTAGACCTACCGCAACACTCCGCTCTCTTTCTGCGAATAAATTTCCATTACCATTGATTCTTACGATCCACGAACGTCTTCGGACGCCGATTTCCTGTCAGGTACAGACACGTAGATGGGAATCGCGGTGAATCGCGCGGATAGAAACTAGAACTGCTTCATTACGATATACGCAAGGGTGATAATTGTACCTTTAACGCGTGGATTCGTATGTAACTCGTGTTCACGCCTCGGACTTTTCCATATTTCGGGTCTATTCTCGTGTGATTTTGGAAACTGAAAGCGCGACGTGGTATCGCGAATCGATCCGATACGTAACAGAATACCTACGTCGCGATGTTCGTTAACAATATGAGTTAAGAATCTTTCGCGAAAGTTACTTTATGAAACGTTGCGAGTTGTAGTATTATATGATCGTACTTCCTTAACGTTTCTTCTATCGATAGTAAAGCGCGTATCGCGCGGATTTAACGTCGGAAGGATCGTTTAGAACATTGTGCCTCGTATTCTACTAATTTGTGAATACAATTGACGATAATAAGGTGTGTGTCGCGGATTTAACGTCCGGAGTGTTGCGTAAAACATCGCGCGTCGTATTGTACTAATTTGTGAATACAAGTGACGATAATAAAGTGCGTATCGTGCGGATTTAACGTCGGGAGTGTTGCGTAAAACATCGCGCGTCGTATTCTACTAATTTGTGGACACAATTGACGATAATAAGGTGCGTGTCGCGGATTTAACGTCGGGAGTGTTGCGTAAAACATCGCGCGTCGAATTCTACTAATTTGTGGACACAATTAACGATAATAAGGTGCGTATCACGGATTTAACGTCGGGAGTGTTGCGTCAAATATCGCGCGTCGTATTCTAATAATTGGTGCGCGACCGTAATTAACTGTGTATAGTGTGTAGTGTATAGTGTTTGTAGTGAGTGAAAACGACGAGGGACAGGACGAGGAACAGGACGGAAATACGGCGAGAGGAGGAGGAGAAGGCCCGGGGAGGCATCAGGCGTCAGCGGAGCAACCCTGAGGTGAGCACACGATTATTATTTGCACATTTGTTACTCGCGAGATTAGGCGTTTATTCCGGTGCGTTCTCATTTAATCAATCGCTTACTTGAACAACTCACGAATAAGAATTGAATGGGAAAAGACTCTTACTTATGAAACGGTGTAAAAGTTTATACTTGAAAGGAAAAAGCTTTTCGACAATTAAATTACGCAATTATTTTAAACATCTTTGAGAGACGAACAATTTCACGCGAATAATAATTGCTTTTAGCAATGCAAATTTTTGTGGCTGTTACTACAATTTGCGTTTTCTATTTGCGTGTTGCAGGTCAACGTAGTTCAACCTCCGCTGCTGCGCATCGTAAGAGTGAGTACAAAAATTCTTTGTTCTCATTTTTGGGATAATGGATCTACGAGGAAAGTTATCAGATATTCATACTTGTGTGAACTTTAGAATATAAAGTATTACAAATAAATACAGCTCTTAGATTCATTATCTTACTTAAAAATGGATGGGCTAGAAGAAAAATTTAATCCTGGAGTGCGTACACATTTATCCGTCGATTTATTGGGCATATCAGGACGCTTGCATACATACCTGTACGGTTCCATTAAATTGGCGACGCATTTTTTTGTTGACACATTCCGGTATCTTATGATACAAAATATTAATTATCAGATACACCAGTCGCCCGATGGAACAAACTCGCAAGCATAAATATTAAAATAATCGGAAATATTTCACAAGTAGAGTTAGCTTGGCAAAAAATGATAAATGATGATAAGGTAGTATTCGCGGAGAAGTTTTCCAATTTGATATAAATGTCGTAGCTATTGCAATTTTTTGCCAAATACTCGGTGTAGAGAAGAGTTTTAAAAATATAATATATGATTAACGAATATCATAAAGATGCACCAGTAAGTTTATTTGCACAATTTTTAATATTAAATATAGTATAGTAATTAATTTATTTTTAGAAAGAAAAATTAAATATGTTGCTTTACTTTCCTTCTCTTCTCCTCCTCGAATATCTTTTAAATTTTGAAATCTTTGACTTCTGTTTTTTCTACGGATTAAATATTATGTAAATTGGTGCGAGAAAAAGTGAGACTTTCACTGGAAAGTCTTTTGATATGCAATTGTCACATGTGTACGTAAGAAAAGGACAAGAAATATTCCATACATGTATTATATTTTAATTACTTTAATTATTTTATTTTAGTGTGTGTAACGCACTAAACGTTTACTATTTCATAGCCCATCCATACACATATATCAGTTCAATATTAGTTGATTATTTCAATATATGTATAGTACACGTAAGAAACTGAAAAGCAAAATCAGTTTCTAATAATAAAAATCAATGTCGTCAGTAATTATTAATAAAAGATAATACGTACGGGATAGAAATCACGTATTTACAACCATTGATCGTTTTGATCGTCTGTAATTTGCAAATTATTGCGATTTCGATATTTTCTCAGATTTTTAAATTTAATTTCTGAAATATTCTAAGTCATATAAAATCTATAAAAGGAATGTATACAGTGATAGAACATATTCTGAATATAATGTAAATAATGCTGAGTTTTATGAACATTAATATTCGAGAGAGAGAGAAACGATATTTCAGAGAAAGATTTTAAGTAAGCTTAAACATTTTGTCGTTTTCGCGGCAAAAAAAAACCGATAAAAAGTAATCTGTTCAATGCATACATCTCTACAAACGCTTTTAACATCCGTGATTTTTAAAATATATACATTGAAGTGGTTTTTTATCGATATTTTTTATTATGATGACAAAACGTTCAAACCTTGTAGAAATTCAAGTCTTCTTCAAATCTCATTTTTCTTTTGTGAATGTCTTTATTCGGTTCCCGATGTGAATTATCTTTTCTTTTTAATTATCAAATAGACGGCATTTTAATGAAACGAAATATTTGCTGATTATAACATGCAAGATATTTTATAATAAGCGCAGAAAAACATTTATTGGAGTTAATGTTAATTTGTTGGAATTTATTTATTAATTTATAACATTAATTCGTGAGCGGATTTCTTTTCCGTTTAAGGCTGAAAAACTGTTTCTGCCTGGTACAATTGCGCTAAAGAAAAGCCATTTTACATTCGTTAGAAAGTTAATTTCGCGTGGAAATTAAAGTCGAAAGTTATTAGGAAGTTTTATATTGATAGGTCCTATTCGGGTGGGATATATATAGCCTCTCTTCATTTTTCAATACATCTGTGATAAAAAAAGAAGAGTTAAGAACCGCTTCTGTAACAGATATTGGAAAAACTACGAACAAGGAAAAGTCGTCAACGGTAGAAAATAGGTGAACATCTGACACGCGGTGGGATAACTTTAAAAAGAGCAAGGTAGCTTGAAACGCGCGCGCGCGATTCTCGCGGCAAATTCATTTCTCGTTTGAGAACGTTTACGCGAACTTCGCTTGTCCAATAACACGCTAATGCATTAACGATCTGTAAATGATTATAAAATCCATTAATGTATGTATAATGTCGAAAATGCACATTTACGGCCCGACAGAACGATTAAAGGAGACCGTCTTGTAAAGTGATCGAAAGTTATATTGCTCGCTACTTTAAGAAAAAAAAATTCCCAACGGTTGCATTTAGCAAAGTAATATAAAAGAACTTTTTGAAATACTTTTAGAAGTTACATATAAAACGTAATACGAATAAATCGTTAAATCCGTTTCTTTAGCTCTTTTAAATCGATCTCTTGAACATAGGATTTCTCAACATAATTTTTTACTTAGTTCCATTTTATATTATATTTTAGTTTATATTATGTGACAGGCTAAGCAAAAATAGAAAGTTAGCAAATGCAAGTAAAATATATACGAAAAATCGAATCTATTTTTATATTTAACATTTTGTTAAATATAACTGTGTTTATGATTTATTAAAGACGTATTAGCAATGGAATTTAAATAATAATTGGATACAATTGTCCAATTTATTAATGCGTGTAATTCTAGTGTATTTGGAATTTTAATAGCATATCTACCCACTTTCGTTCTCTCGATGAAAAGTTTTCGGTAGAAATATTTTATCATGTATTTTGGCAACTCGTTATTGAATTAGAAGCTGTGTAGTATTTTTCACCGTGTTGCAGTCGATGATTTCACAACCGAAAAATTCGATTAAACATTGCGCGGTTTGCCCGATTCATCATTCGCGATGAGTGCACACCGTTTTAATAAACCGATCAGAATGTAGAGCTGTTTTAAAAGGAAGCGATGAACGATTGCATTGTGCTCTCCTTCACAAATAATGAATAAACATATCTGTTATTTCGAGAGCGATGATTTCGGTGCATAAATATAATAATATTAACGAGTTCTTTGATCCGATAATATTAGCGGTTTTTAATGAGTAGTTGAATGAAAATTTACCTCATTACGTAAAAACTTTATTCTTCACAAGCAATTCGTATATACGCCGGGATGAAAATAATATAGAAACTAAAAACGTATAATCTTTTTATATCGAGTACAAAATTTTTTTAATTAAAGATGTGCGCAAGTATGTCTTATATTTTGTTTAATGGTAAAAGAGCTAAAGAAACGGATTTAACGATTTATTCGTATTACGTTTTATATATAACTTCTAAAAATATTTCAAAAAGTTCTTTTATATCACTTTACTAAATGCAACCGTTGCGAATTTTTTTTTCTTAAAGTCTTACTATACTGTACCGAAAAGAAAGAGAAAAGTATCATTATGCTTACGTAATAATCGTAAGATAATAAAACTATTACTTTCGGAGGGGGGAGGATAGAAAAGATAATTCTCTAAAATTGTAATGATGTTAAAAACGAATGCCTGAGAAATTTTAAAACGAAAATGTAGACCGTTTAAAATTTGCTTTCGAAAAGTATAATATATCGGTTTCATTATTTAATTTTTTAGATGTCTTTTATAAAATGATATTAATATAAAATATTTATAATCGGCATAATTTTTAAAAGTTTGTATAATTGGAGAATCTTTATTTTAATAGCAGTAAGATTATCAATTTCGCACAAGCTATCAGTAATAAGAAAATAATTTAATATTAATTTAATATGCGTGTTTTAATACAATAAATATGAGACGACACCAATTATTCGCGATTAAACAGAAGGATTTTTTAATACTGCTACTTTATTTCGAAGCAGGGGAAATAAAACGCATCATGAACAAGAGCAATTGCAATGCGCGCAATACATTATGCGCATAGTAAATCTCAAATCGCGAAACGAGAATATGTGGCGGCGTTCGTTGCACGCAAATTCACGCAGCATACACGACTCTGGCAGAAATTCTCTGATTTCGAAAAATATCAAAGAGGAATTCTTACCGGTTTCCCTATCGCGTCGTCGGAACTCGCATTCTCGTCGTCGGCTAACATAAGAAAAGAAATTTCGCTGTCGCCGATTGCAGAAAGCGAATCTGATTAGCGATTTCTTGTGCACGTTCTTTAGAGCTGAAGGAATGCGCATGTATGTTACTTGGAAAGGGCTTGTCGATGTTCCGATCGCAATCAAAATGCTAGTAACGTGAAATAAGAAGCGCGAATAATTGTGACGGTTTCTAAAAAATTAACGCGGTTGTCTCGATTAAATTTAGAAAAGTAATGAACTTTATTTATTATAAAAATCATATAAATCCCACTATGTATCAGTACATGTTTGCGCGTATGTTATTACACTATATTGTAATCAAGAACATTTTCGGTTAAAAGAATTATGTCACAATCTGTTCTGCATAGTATCAACCAATATAATCGCTTTGCCAGAAATTTTATATGTTTCCACGAAATAACTGTATACTGAGATTCCGCATGCCAAGACTGACAGCGTCATAAAAATGTTACGGTTTATGAGAACATTTACGGCATTCCAAGCATACATGCGTACAAAATTCACAAAATAATCGTTAGATGTGTATTTAAAAAAAAAACATAGAACAATTATTTTTATATCAAATGCCCGTTACTTAATTACTGAATTAATGAAGTTAATTAAACTAAGAATGGTCTCATCGTTCGCGAGAGTTGAGTAGATTCCACATTTTTCGTTTGTATTTTATTCTCTCGGGTACTTGGTATATTTGATCCCCTCCGTCTTTGCGCGATTTGTACAAGAATATCGAATAGCAGGCGCGTTTGCTTATCTCTCTGTGGTGCGTCTTTTATACCGTGCAAATAAAACGGTTCACCAATTTCGTACCAAAGACGTAGGAGCTAGATAGAAATTTATTACTTTTTACCGCCGCGAAGTAGACGCCACCGGCGTCTATTGTCGTCTACGACAAAGTACTCGTGTTGTACGTCAAGGGGAAAAAAAAGATCCGTACTTCAAAGTAGATATACAATATATTGGTTTGTCGGGACCTAAAAGCTTCCTTTGTACGAACTGACGAAGGAATAACGAGCGATCATAAATCATGCACCAGATGCGAAAGTATAACTTTACGAAATCGAAGGAGCTTATATAAATATTTGACTGAAAAGATTTCTTTGCGGACCTGAATTCCCGGTAAAGCGAATCTTGATATAATGCAATAGAATTTTGAAATCTTTACCGTATGATTATTTCTATCGCTTTTTACGAATGCGACCGCAAAACCGATTAAAAAATTGTTTTTATAATTTTTTTATAAGGATAATAGTTCAATGATTTGCGATCGTTACTAGATAATATGAGTGACATTTTATGTTCGTACTATTCCTATACGTGCACTGAAAAAAATTTCTGGTTGAATATGGACGAATCAGATAATTCCTTTAGGATTTACCAGAATTCCTTTAGGATTTACCAGAATTCCTGTAATCCTACAGAAATTCTGGTAAATCCTAAAGGAATTCTGGTAAATCCTAAAGGAATTCTGGTAAATCCTAAAGGAATTCTGGTAAATCCTAAAGGAATCTGATTCGTCCATATTCAACCAGAAATTTTTTTCAGTGTGGTTTAAATCTTACCGAATACTATGACGAAGGTCATTTTTACGGTCTTGATTTTCGCCCTGGGAATGAGTCCCCTCGAGGACGCTCTCCGAGTATCTCTGGTAGGTCCCTGACGTAGCGCCGCTCCTTGCGACCATATCGTGACCACGATGACCGTGTAACAGCCTCCTATTATTAGGGTGGGCGCTATAAAGAGGCTGAAGCTCACCAGGCTCATGTAAATCTTCCATTGAATCGGGCCCAAATCGATCCAACATTGCGTCGTATCCTGTAAAACAATCGTTTGCTATCAGACTCGTTTTGTGAGGGCGACAGCTTTCGCGACCTTATCGTCAAAAGATCTTTTTAAACGCGAGCAAAACGGTCGTGCGTTGACGCACACGTTATCTAGCAGCGTACGCATTATTGTTTTTTTAAAGAGATTTTAAAATACAACATCCAAAATTACGCGAGCACGTTTTTCGAGTTAGAAACTCTGCGTTTTTTTAACACAAATGTAAGAGAATTAGCAGTAGTTTTGGAATCGTGTCGGTATCCAAGAAATACGCGTGCACCTGTATTCGTTTCTCCTCGTACAGGAATAAGATCGGCATGCTGAAGAATGCTGACAGCGCCCAAGCAATAATCACCAAAGCTCGAGCCCTCCGCCCTGCGAACAAAATTAACGTCTGTCACATTATAGTTTCAATTTTGCAATCGACAGATAAACGTTATCACGTTGACAAAAGTAATTGTGCTCGACGAGTGCTAGAGGCGCGACGCGGAATTTTTATTGCAAATTTATTTTTCGACGTAAACATTTTTTTTTCGCGGAAAATCGACGCTAGCCCGCGCAACTTCGGATGAAAGAAGCATAGCTAGTTTTGTGAATGTCGAGTTTTACGTCAACCGGCGATTCGGAAAAATGAAAAGGCGAACGGTCCTAGTGACGGCTCGCGAAACCGGTTTGAAAAATCGAAAATGTCTACGTTACTGCTGTAATAGGCTTGGTACCTAAAACAGCAGTGTAGCACGATATGACATGATTACAACGTACCGAATCACCTACTTGGCTTCCCGCAGCAACGCAGGGAATGATATATACATGGCGATTTTATATTACGACATGTTATCGTTATCCTCATGAGCGTCGTTTATTCTGCCATTTTCAACAATGTGTAATTAATAGCGTCAGCAATTTTCTTGGCTCGAGACCGATATAAAAAGATGTTACATAACATATCTATATAATCGATACAAGTCCATTAATCTTGTTATAATTACGGTGTGCAATTGATAGTTATAACTCATCGATAATTGCAAGAATAATCGCGTATAGAAATTTATAACGGTAGGCCTGGTGTTAAAAGCAAATCCGGTTAATATTGTAACAGTGCCACAGTTTAATCACGTTCTCTCGTGTCTCTTCGATAATACCGTGGACATTTTAATCTCTGTTTAATGACAACGAGGAACAAGCGTGCAGATTGTCACTAATGAACTTGATGTTATTGCCGCATACCTACTTGCTTTAAATCCGAATTCAAATAAAAGTTTATAATTAGATTCACGGAGAAAGTGTCGAAAGTAATCCTCTGTGCATACATTTCGTTTATTAAATATTACCTTTGGAGGTGCCGCTTATGTATTTTTACTAACGCAGTATAAAAGTATCGCGATTTTACCATACAGCGTGGTTTAAATTCTTTCCCCAAACAAATTGAATCCGTTTTAATTTACACCGGTCGATATAATATTAGAGATCGGGCTAATGGCAAAGATATTAATCCGCCGCTGATGAAGTATCGAGCGACAGTCGGGCGTGATTGGTAGTTGAGATTCAGACACCTACCAATTTCTGTAATTCCGGGCTATCGACAAGCCACGAGAACGTCGATACATGTTGTAGAGGGTAGATAAATTTTATTTTAGCGCGGAATACTCACCGCAACGATTCGTGAGATGCCTCCGCGTGATAGACGATACTACCGGCAGAAAGATAAGAGAACCGGCGACACTATCTTTTTTTCCCCCCCGCCCTTTATCTTGTCGCGAAAAGGAGCAGCCACTAAAAAGAGTAAAGAAACGCGCGCGTCCGTCGTCAAGGCACGCGATATTAATTCTGAAAGGAACGGCGAAGATATTACATCACAGATCATGAAATAATGAAGCCATTGATATTGGTTATATCGCTACCGATATATATATATATACTGGAAGTACGACATTTCCGAAGGAAGTCCGGATAGCATCGATTTTTCTACTTTTTTCTTAGCAACTCTATCACGAGTTCCGCGAGTAGACACGTAACGTCCGGCACACCGGCGTCAAAGTAAAATTCCTTGACAGTAAATACGGCTAGAATAGAGGAATTCGAAGGAAACGCCAAAGTGATATATAAAGGCGAGGCTAGATATCCACTGTGCAGTGAAGTGCATTCACAATCAGTGTGTCAGCTGGCTCATAGATATCCGTAAATAATCTTTGACGTGCTACGAACACTCGAAAGTGCATATTGACGTGTCAGAAATAATCCTACTATCGGACAGTCGCGATTAAATTGACGCGAAAATGGAGACCGACTATTTCGTTCCTTCACGTTGCTATTTATGGAAGATCTATGTTTTCGTTTCGCATTGCACACTACTTTAAAGCTCGTTCTCTTCTTAATTTATGTTAATATAGTTTATGTCTGTGCTAATTTCCAGACATCCGAGCTAAAAATAATCTTTTTTCTTCCTTCACTCGATGCATTTTATTCGGGGTTGTAAGATTCTTCAAAATAATGCTGCTCCTTTCCGCAGGAATCTCTCTTTCATGAAATTTCCATAATTCTGCAGTAACAATTTACTGCATTAAACTGCCAAGCAGTTTTCTTCTCTTCTCTACTTATGTGCAATTAATTAAAGATTCCCGCGCAGATAAGCGAAGATAGTCTTTTGACGAGCACGAACACCATTCATGCCTCGAATCACTCTATATATTTCCACGGAGTTTTAACTGCATGGGCTATATTAATGAGTCTAGCTCGACGATACCGTTTTGTAAAGGAATCCACCATTAAAGGCCGCGATCGTATGCGCGCTAATGTACTCACAGCTGCCGGAGAAGTTCATCGGACGGGTAATGGCGTCATATCTGTCGATTGATAGAGCCACGAGGACGTAGGTCGAGCTATAGGTTACTACAGCCTGCATAAACCTTATCAGTTTGCAAGCTATGTTACCCGCGTACCACGCGACAGTCGTTCTCCAGATTATATCCGTTAATACGGATATTAGGCCGACCAGTAGATCTGCAACAAGATACACGACGACGAATTGTGATATACCGTTTGCGAATGGAGTATACTAATTAATGAGGATTATCAGGCGCTTCCCCGTTCCGAGAAGCCGCCGGATATGATATCTGGATAGATGTACTCGTTAATATTTTGGAGAATCTCTTAGTTCCGAACTAGACGAAAAGTTAACAGACTCTACCGTATGTTCTCTTCATTGTTACAAGAATTGATCGTTAAACTTGTAGAGACCCGCCGACGTATTCGTTTAAAGGGAAAACCTTAAGCGTATAACAAACTTACATAAACCGTTACGTGAAATTTGGAGTTTAATGTGCGATATTGAGAGCGTGGGATTTTTGCAACTGTAGAAACGTCGCGCGGTTCCTAATTAACTCGTGAAGGCATTTATGGAATAACATATTTAACCGCGAAATAAACCCCTGTGATACGTGGTCGGTTTATGGCTCGTTTCGATACTTTACGTCGCGTTGCTCTACATTTACGCACGGTTACAGACTATCAGTGCAAAGCGTAAAGTAAGATGAACGTTACGTAATAACACATCCGTAATTTCGGCGATTTTTATGTCGTAACATCCGTATCATAAACGTCACGATAATAAGAAATTATTTCACAGTGGAGAGAATTTCTTCACGAAGGACATAATCACGGCGTGTATGTTCCGTAATATTTTATACCACAAAGTTTTTTCAAGGTTTATCTGGGGAAAAGTAAGAATATAAAAACAATATAATATAAAATATATGCGCGGAACTTTTAGATTGAATTTTTCTAATAATATCACAGTAGGATATATAGGCCGGTTCTGGACCACTTGTGGAGGGGGAACCGGATGGACCTAACCGCTGGGGAGGGGGAAACCGGACGGACCTAACCGCTGGGGAGGGGAAACCGGACGGACCTAACCGCTGGGGA